GGCACTGACAAGAGCAGCTTCTGGATCCAGCCTCCTCCTTTCCCAGGGCTGGGGAGAGGGCTGCAAGGCATGACTCCAGGGATCTGGGCAGAAGTGTGAGCTGGGCCTTTGCTCCTGCTGTTCCCCCAACAGGAGCACCATCCTAAGCCCCCAAGGTTCTGTGGGGGAGAGAAGAGAAGTAGTTCCAGGTGGAGCCTACGTTTCAAGAATATGTGTGTCTATGCGTGTGTGAGAGACAGGGAACGCAGGAGAGAGACAGTGAGGTGGGGGAGGGGAGGCAGGCTCACATGGGTGCAGTGCTGAGGATGGGTAGGACTCGGGAATTGGGGGAGCTAGTGGGAAGGTCTTTGGGCACACAGTGTAGGGAATAGGCTGAGCAAAGGCACAGAGGTGGGAGAGGCTGGCTGCCAGCCCCTTTCTGACAGCCCCAAGAGGACACCTGGAGTCAATGATTAAACCATCCCCAGACATAGGCTGGGAGCAGGGAGGGGTGGATCATGGAGCTGTGGCCAGGGGCCAGGGCTCATGTGGGTTCCTGGTGGGGCCTAAGGGGAGGCCCTCTTGCTTGGCAGGACTCTAAATTTCTCTGTCTCTCTGGGCCTCAAGAACCCCTCCCCCATCTTGTTGGCTTAGCTCGCAGGCCGTCATCCCCAGTCAAGGGCCCTCGGTGCTAGACTCCAGCCCGCTCTTCACAAGCTGAGCACTGGCTCCTGGGCTACTCTTGGGTACTGATGCCAGGCTGCCCAGTCCTTGGGACCGATTCAGGAACCAAGGTCCACACAGCAGGGTCTGGGCCATAAGCCCTGAGTCCAAGTCTAAGAGCCGGTCCCTTGGGGTCATTATTCTCATCTCCTCCCTCTGCGAATGGGAAGCCCGAAGGCTGGATGGGGGAAGAGTCTCGTTCAAGGTCACACAAATCAGCAATGGCTGGCCTGGGAGGTGCCCTCAGCAAGGGGCGGGGGGTGATCCCAATTAAATTAGCATCATCGCAGGCCCTTCATCCTGCTCTCTCCTCTTAGATCCACATGGGTGCATCTGAGGGGTGGGCAGGTTTCTCTTGGGAGGAGGTCAGTGTGGACGCGGACTCCAGGGGCCAGGGTTCCCGTGAACCCACACGGGAAGGCCCAGCTTTCCATATGGCCATGGTGCTGGCATTCAGCTGGTACCCTCTGCTCGCACCAGGAGTCCTGCATTCCATGGGGCCCAAGTCCTGTGGTTCTCAGATGTGTCGTTTTCACAGCTTCTCCTCCCGAGCCACAAGGGTCCAGCGCCCGTCACCCTGGATGACCATCCCAGCATCCTCACTGTCCTCAGTTCTCCCTGCTTGCCCCGTAGGATATTCTCTATTCAGCAACTAGAGGATCTGTATAGTGGCAGCCAGCCCCTGCTAGCCCTGTGCTTAAAGCTCTTTAGGGGCTCCCCTGCCCTCCAAAGCCTGCTTGGGTCCTCTCTGCCCACCAAGCCCTGCGTGAGGGGACCGAAGCTCCTCCTTTCTAGGCAGTAGGGGTGGAAGGGCCGTGAGGCCACAGGAGGGGGCATACAGAGAGCCTACAGGGTGGACGGCGCCCCCTGGAGGTGTGTAACAGAGCAGCCCTGGGAAGGGGTTCCTGCTGGGATTGCAGTCCCTTATGGCCTGTAAAGGGTTGGGGAATGCGGAGCTGAAACCTCATCTTACCTCTGGTCAGTTGCTAATGAAGGCCTTTAATGGCCGTGCCTGGGAGGGGGTGACCTCACCCTGGACACGCCCGGATAAGAGGAGGCTGGAGTCAGAGGCAGGTAGCTCCTCAACAGCTATGGGACCTGCTTGGGCTTGTCCTGCCTGCGAAATGAGGGGACTGTGTGTGTGTCTGTGTGTGTGTGTCTGTGTGTATATGTGTGTGTCTGGTCTCTCACAAGGCCAGAGGGAGAAGGCTCCCAGTCTGATGGGGGAGGTAGGAACTGGGTGGCAAGGCTCAGTGCAGCAGGATAGGGAGGCCTAGCTTCTACTCTGACTCACTCTATGACACCCCTGTTGGAGCCTCGGTTCTTCCGTCTATGTGGGGTTGGGAAGGAACGATTCTGAACCCTCCCTAGGTTCTCAGGTCCTTTGGGGCCAGTCCCAGGGGGCCTCTGGGAGGAGGTGAGGGAGCTGTTTCCTGACAGGGCCCAGGACAAGAAGGGGGAAAGGTATCAAAGATTGAGACCTGTACCCTTCCCTGACCCAAGCTCCCGGGCACCTACAGGTCAGAGGTTAACATACACTCTCTAGAGAAACCTGGCTCCCACATCAGATCCTCTGACTTCCACCTGAGGGTTTTGGTGTGGGTGCTAGTGTTCTCAGACACATCCAGATGGAGGCAGACGGCTATCCCGATGCAGACATGCAGACGCAGGGGCGGGGACAGGCTGTGACAGCGGCAGGTGAGGGGGCAAGTTCCAGCACGGGCTTTCTGCCCACCCCCACTCTTGCCCCATTCATAGGGGATGACTATTTGCACCCCAGGGAGGGGCCCCGTGGGGGTGTCGGTTGCAGCAGGCCCTTCTCCTGAGGGCTGCCTTCGCCTCCCCCCGCCCGCCCCCGGCTCAGAGCAGGACCCCCCTGGGGAAGGCAGCAGCTTGTCTCCTTTGTGATCTCTTTGCCAGGCTCCCTTCAAGGTGGCCACTCCACAGTGCTACAAGTTCTTCCTGGTGTCCAGCCTTAGTCACTCCTGCTCTTGCTCCTGATTCATTTATCAGAGAACAAGTTGAAGGCCTCATCATCTTTCCACCCAGCCTGACATCACTGTTTCCCTCGGGCATGTTCCCATTCCTGGGACGGCCTAGCCGGCACAGGAAATGGCTGCTAGATGAATGTTCCAGTGAGTGAGTGACTGGCTTGGATCCTTCTCCCATGAGAACGCTAAGAAGTGGCTAAGAAGTGGATGAGGGGGCCCCTGGAGCCCAGGCTGAGATGGAGATAGAAACATGGACTTAGGAGGCAAAGAGGGTTAGAAGGACTTAGGGTGCAGAAACGAAGCAGATGCAGTCCCAGGAAGCCAGGTCGCCCAGAAGCTTAGGGGACGCTGGTGTCCAGGCCCCTGGCCAAAGATGGCCTGGACAGAACAAAGCCCATGGGAGGCAGGCACAGGAGAGACAGGATGGAGTAACAGAAGCTCAGAGTGAAGGGCTATGAGGCAGGAGCCTGGGACCCAGGGGTCCAGAGTAAGCATGGCCTAGCCCAAGGTCACAGAATGAGGATCCAGGGCCCCAGACACCCATCCAGGACCTGGCCCTCTCTCCCTGCCAGAGGGAAGCTGAAAGGAACCACAGCCAGGCATAGTGCTGAGGTGGGAATTCTACAGATGAGGACACTGAGGGTCAGAGAGGCCATCTGGCTTGTCTGAGGTTGCAGAGGAAGCAAGTAGCAGGGGTGGCCCTCTTCACGTACTCCCAAGCTCCCCTCTCCAGTCCTCATTTTGAGAAGCCAGCTCAGGAAATGATCGCTTTCCCACCCCCCACCCTGTGCTTGGGCACACTGGCACTGCCAGGCACTTACTTACTTACTGCCGAGGGCCCAGCCCCCAGCTCGGCACCCGCGGGCTTCCCCAGAGAGGGAACAAAGGCCCAGTCTCTGCCTGTTCAGGCCCCCACCCCCTTGCCCGCCCCTGGCACAGAGGGACCAAGGCTCTGAGGGAGCCTGAGAGCAAAAGCAGCACCCACCCCTTTGCGACAGTGCAAGAACCCCCTTCCCGACTTCCGCGGTCTGCCGGCTGCTCAGCAGTGTTCCCCATTCTACAGATGGGAAAGCTGGGGAGGAGGTGACACAGTCACACAGCAGGGATTCAAATCCAGGTCCCTTGCCTGGAGAACCTGCGCCCTATCCCACACCACACGCCAAGCCATGAAGTTGGCGACTGTGTTCTGGTCCAGTGTACCTCCTGGGCAGAGATGGGGCAGCAGGCAGAGCCTGTGCAGCTCGACAGGGAGAGTCCTGGGGACGGAGCTGAGTCACCCTTACCCTTCCAGCCCTGCCCACCTACCCCCTACCCGGGTCCTGCCCCGTGGTGGTCACACAGTCTGCTGAAGTGATAACCAGGCAAGAGGCAGAGATGGGGAAACTGAGTCAGCAACCAGACCTCCTAAGTCCCTGGAGGGGCTCATCCAATCCAACCAGAGGCTCAGGAGACGGGCCAGTCCATTCCTCAGCTGTCACATGGGCTGTGTTGCCCGTGAGGGCCTTAGCCCACTGAGCTGCAGTCATTGTCGTTCTCCAGACCCCCTCCCTGCTCCCTGCTCTGCCTGGCGCCTCTCCTTGACCCTTCAGAGGAAGCCTGGATAAAGGGCCAATGCTCACCCTGCTCTGGAGAAGCCTGAGCGTGGCCGATTCCTCCCTGTGACCCCAGGCTCAGACCAGGAAATGAGCATGGCATGCTCATCTTGCCCTGAACAAGGCAGGCATTCAGTATCTGAGTGCAACTGGTCCCATTTTAGAGATGGATACTGAGGCTCAGGGACCTGTCCAAGACCACCCAGCTCCTAAGGAGCAAAGCGGGGCTGACCGGCTCGGTTTCCCAGTCCCACAAGGCATCCCAGGAACTGTGTGGGGAGGAGAGAGTGAAGTTACATGCAGACTACCCTCTCCCACCCACAACAGCAAGGAAAAGGGGACCTGGGGGCTCAGGGGCCTGAAGCCCTTGGGCAATCTCCATGAGAGCCTAGGGCAATGCTGGCTGAGTTGGGGCTCAATTATGTGACCTTGGCCGACACAACCTCTCCGAACCTCAACTTCCTGTCAAACTATCAGCAGAGGCCGATGGAGAAAGCCTGATGTGCCCGCCTGCCGGCGCCTGAAGGGCTGGGAAATGCCGCAGCCCCCACCCCAGCCCAGCTTTACCCAGAGGCCTGGGCTGCTCCCTCCCATCTGGGTGGCACCTCTGACCCTCAAAGCAAGTGCCCGGCAGACCCCAGGCAGGACCAGGCCATACGCCTCACACACAGGAGGGGCCAAGAAGCCAGCCAACAGTGCCCCCTCCTCACCTTCCCTGAACTCAAGTTTTACCAGACATCACAACTCATTTTAAAGAAAAAATAGTATTTATTTGCAATATAAACAAAGTCCCGTTGCTGGTTCGGGATATATATATGTATGTGTGTGTATATATACGTAGGGTCACAAATTTTCCTTCATAAGATCATAAAGCAAAACTGGCCACCCTCTTGGCATACCCTCATTTACACAAGTCTGATGCGTCTTTCTGGGGTTTTCTTTTTAAAAATAAAAAAGAGAGAGAGAGAAAGAGAACCATGTACAGCATGGGAGCTTGTTGTCTACTTTCTCAGCTGTGGCAAGATTTAACTGCGCTGCCCTAGAGAATCCCTGAAACAGCCCCTGTGAGGTAAGATGCAGTGGGGGCAGAGTTTCCGTGGCATCGCTCGCATGCTGAGTGCTGGCTCCCTCAGGGACTCCCGCCTGACTGCTCACCCTCCCTGTGCCCCGAGGCAGCCCTGACACCTGCTAGAACTAAGCTTGGAGAGGGAACAAAAGTGGAGGAGGATAACGGAATCCGTGGCTTTGTTCTGTGGATACTTGGGGTAGGGTTGGGTGGACAGAGCCTCACAGCCCCTCCACTTGTCCAAGGTGCCTCCCTGCATCCTCATCGCACCCACTCCTGCCCAGGGGTGGAAATGGGTGCGAGTTTCCTGGTAGTAGAAGGCATGGGCAAGATGAGAGCAGTGCAGGCGTCCACGGGGACAAGGGGGGCTGAGAGTGGCAGCAGAATCAAAGCAACGGCCAGGGGAAGGGGAAGGAACTTGGGAGGCAGGGCTGGGCCTCCACCTACCGAAGCTTTCCCTGGCCACTGGGCCTCCACTCCCAGGTGCGAACAGACAGAGAAAAAAAGAGAAAGGAGACACAAGTAGTGGGTGGAGTATATAAAACGGCCTGGGGCCCAGGCCCTCCCAGGGGCTGAGCCCAAGGGCTAATGCTACTGCCTGGCGGTCCCCCATGGCCCTACTTCCAGCAGGGCAGGGCCCCCAACTCCTGCCTCGGGGAGTGGAAGCGTGGTGGAAAGGACAGAGAATGCCAAAGCCACCTGCACAGCCCACCAATCACAACTGCAGACATCATCGCAGGCCAATGCAGTGCCAAGTGGGCCGGGCCCACGGTGGGAGATGCGGGCATGACCGGCGTCCGACACCTGGAGAGCAGCAAGCCGTCCCTTCCAGAAGGGCCCGCCGTGGAAACGGAGGCTTCACACATGTGCAAAACGCATTTGGTCAAGATCAACACGGGGTCTGTCTTTTCCATTTAAAAAAAAAGAACACCAATAATTACTTTTTGAAATAGAAAAACAAAACTCAGAACGTTTCTCTCTCTCACAGGATCAAGGGATGAAATACTGGTTTATATAATCCACTGTTGCATGTAGCCTGGAAATAACACTTTTCATTAAAAAAAGAAAAATCAGAAGAGCTTGAACACTCTCGGTGCTCCAGGGAGCTTAGGTTTACCCGCCAAAAGTAAAAAGGAACCTCAGGTCCGTGGACGTGTCTTTAAAAAGTAGCCAAGTTGGCCGGGCCATCAGCAGAAAGGACTGTCCTAGGGAAGGATGAGGCCCTGCTGGAACCCCAAAGCCATGTGTCTGAGAGTTGAGGGCCTCTTTGGCAAGTCCTGCGGGGGAAGGCCTTGCCTGTGGGCCCTGCTCCCCACAGGATGGGGTGAGTGGAGCTCGGCCACCTATGAGCCTGGCTGCTGGTCACAGGTGACGTCTGTGGGTTCCTCAGGCCAGAGGCAGCAGGCTTGGGCCCTCCCAGCTGGCCCTGTGGAGGGCTGGGGAGGCACCCGGTGGCCCGGCCACCTGTGCACCTGGCCTCACGTGGACTCAAGTGTGTTGAGTGGGAACAGGTTGTGGTTGGTGGGCGTGGAGAAGTAGAGCTTCTCATTGGGTGTGTGGTTGTCACATGGGCTGCTTAGCCCCAGCGTCCGCTCAAAGTCCAGCAGCTGCCCCATGAAGTTGAAGTTGGGAGAGATGTTGGACTTTTTCCTCTTGACGAAGTCATAGGCGTCGTTGAGTGACAGGTTCATCTTCTGCATCAGGTAGGCCACAGTGACCGTCACCGAGCGGCTGATGCCTGCCAGGCAGTGCACCAAGACACCACACTTCTTGGAGCGAGCCTCATCTGAAACACGGGGGCATGAGTCAGGGAGACAACTCCTCCAAAGAGCCTTCCCACATGGGTGGGCAGAGGGGCCAGAGTAGGTGGGGCTGGGGCACAGAGGGTGGTATGGTCGCTGGCTGGTACTGCCCCATTGAGGGACCTGGCCACGTCCATGCAGGTGGAGCAGCAACTTGGCTGTCGAGAGGGCATTTCCATGCTTTAGCTCAAAGTCACTGGACATCCCTGAGCCTCAGTTTCTTCATCTATAAAATGGGTTTCCTGATACAGTGCTTTTGTAAGAACCTGAGTTAAGTGACAGCTCAACAAAGTGAGCTCTTGTGACAACTATGCCCACGGCTAGTACTGTGGGTGCCACCTGCATCTTCCCAGGTCACCTGTACCATGGCTAGTAAGCCCGTTTTATAAATGGGGAAACAGACTCAGAGACAAAGTGATGAGCCCAAGGCCGCACAGAGGCTCCTCCTAACTCGTAGACCCCCGCTGCTGCCAGTCCATGCCCTGGGGTGGGGGCGCTGAGCATGCTGCAGCTCCCACAGCCACTCCCCAAGTCTCCTGGGCAACGGGCCTGAGGAAGGTCCCTCCAGAAGGGAGTGGGGGGCTGGGGCCTGCACTCAGCTTGGCCGGCAAGTCCCAAAGGCTTTGGTTCCCATTCCTGACGTCGGATGTGACTGAAGTTCAGTCACCAGTCGGCCTGGGCTGCTGGGTTTCATATGTGGGGTTTGCTTAAAGCAGTGCCCACCCCACTTGCTAGACGTCCCCCCGCAGGCCTATGCACCAAGGACATCCCACCACAGTCAGCCAAATTCTGCCTACCCTCCCTGACCCTTCCCGTGCCACCCACTCTCACACCTGTTTCCTGGCCCCCCAATTCCTCTGCCTGACGCAGAGCAGAGCACCATCAATGCTGGCTGAGCTACTAAATACTCAGTCATCTCCTCTCCCCTGGACCCTGGGGCAGCTGCCTCTCTCTGTGCCATAGCTGTGCCAGGGGCATGATTATCAAGAGGCAGTTCTGGGGCTCTCAAGGTCCCCACCCCCGACTGCTAGCCCACTGGGAGCCAGGTACATAGGTGGTACCCAATGCTCTCCTACAAGATGACACACAGGCCCACAAACCGTTCCTCATCTGGGGATCATTGCTGATGGCCTGGCAGAGCTTCCCCCACCCCGTGCCCACCTCATCTGGGGGTCCCCAGAGCTAAACACACTGTCGGTGACAACCTTATGGCTAAGGCTCCAGGGGCCGGACCAGCACTGGGGAGACAGATGTTGAGGCTTTGTGTGCAGCCCTGTGGTCTGACCTTGAGATCTGAGGCAGGGGGAGGGCGTGGTGGGGATGAGCCTCCAGTGGTAACACACCAGGATATGGGGAACACCCAGCCCCTAAACCCACCCGGACAATCCGCGGTGTAACTGCTTCCGCTGGCTTTATTTTTAGCCCTTTCAGGGTACGACTGAGCGGGGGGGGGGGGGGGGGCTGGTGCTTGATCCTGCCCCCCGAGACCTCTGGGATGCTTGGGCCTCGGTTCCTTTACTTGTCAAAGGGGGAAAAATGTTCCCTTCACCTCTGCCCCTTGACCTGCTGTACCCCCAGATGTGGAGGGGCCTTTAGGAAGGATGAAGGCACCCACAAGCCAGGCTCGGCCCTGAAGAATCAGGATCCCCCTCTCTACTGCTCTCCCTCCTTGGGGGAGAGCTCAAATGCTGAGGCAGCACCCACAGTCCTCTTGGCCACATCCTCCAGGGGCAAGGCAGGACTGGGAAGCTCGGACAGCCTCCGCCATGGCCCCCTCCCCCAGGCCTCCACTTCCTTCCTTCCTCCCAGCCGGGCACCTAGTTTTGGTTCCCAGTAAGCGGATGAGGCGGGGAAGCCTCCCACTTCCTGTTATTAAAGCTAGCCCAGCCCAGCCACCACCAAAACGCCCTCCTCCAGAAACGGCCTCCAGCAGAAGACTGCTCAGGCCACAGCCTCAGAGAAGCCAGGGTTTCTGATCCTGTGTCCCCTTCCCCACACCCTGGGTGAAACGTGGAGGCCAGAGGAGGTGACCTGAAATCTACCAGCATCTAGCTGGCCAAAGAGGCTACAGGACAGGAGGCTACAGACGAGGTGGCTTACAGAGCTCGGGGTCAGCCAAAGCCCTAAGCCAGACAGAGGGCTAGTGTTCTGGAGAAGACCTTCCTCAGCCTGCCCCACCTTCTCTGTGTACCCCCTGTGCTCCAAGCAAGCCCCACAGGCTGCCCGGGAGGACCTGCGGCCCCATCAAGGCACCCTGGGTCCACATTCTGATAGCTGCCTGTTTGGGGCAGGTCTCTGGCTCCAGTGCCACCCATCAGCTCCCTCAGGTACACAGTAAGGCCCAAAGAGGCGCCATGACAGGCCCCATCCTGGAAAGACACATGTGCTGAGGCATGATGCAGAGCCAGTGAGCCCCGTGGGAGGTCTGTGAGCTGTGATGTTGCAGCCTGCTTAAGCCCGAAACAGCAGTGAAGCCAGAAAAACACAAGCTGGACTGCAGAGCCCATGAGGTGCCGGCAGCTGGGGGGGAGCTCAGGACTCAGGGGACATGCTCAGGCCCTGAGAGGTAGAGGGGCCCAAGGGCCTTGGTGACTCACAGCAAGCATGGGTACACCCATGGGCACATGCTGGCACACGCAGGACACACACAGGCCTCGACAGGTCCAGAGGTGCCCAGTTGGGTGCGGGCGACACCCAGAGTCCTGCACACACCTTGACACGCCCCCCGCCCACCCTGCCCAGCGCACAGCAGCACCTACCAATGAAGCTGATGGCCTCGGGGAAGAACTGGGAGAGGTTCTGGCTCCAGTGGTCAGAGATGGGGATCTGCTTGTAGGTGAACTCGCCGCCGTGCTCAAAGGCGTTGGGCAGGTTGGGCGTGACGTTGAGGATGTACTTGATGCCGTACTTGCCGAGCACGTCCAGGTTGGTGGAGTCCTTGGCACAGCCAAGGTAGAGGTAGGGCAGGATCTGTACGGGGAAGGCCGGCTGGCAGGATGGCACAGGGCTGCCGTCCGACTCAGTGGCACTGCTGGGCAGCTCTCGGTCTGACTCGCCATCTGAGCAGTCAGAGCTGATGCGTAGGCCCCCCAGGCCTAGCACTGAGGTGGGCGGCGAGCCACTCGGTGAGGACGAGCTGTCCACATTGGTCTCGCAGTGCTCAGAGTACTCCGTTTGGAACTTGTTGAAACCACCTGTGGCCAGGGGTGAGATGGGGACTGGGTAAGAGGCTGCCAATGCCACTGGCCAGCGCATCCCGCCCAACTAGGCAGCACAACACCAATGACGGCCAGGCTCTCCACATCAAGCACAGTACCAGTGATGGCCAACACGGGCCATGCCAACCATGTCACAGCTGCACCTTCTCCTATGTTCTCCACATCTACCCTATCACCCACTTCACAGACGAGAAACTGAGGCTTCAGGAGGTGAAGTAATGTACACAAGGTCCCACAGATGGTAAGCAATGGAACCAGAACCAGATCCAGTCAGCTGGAGTCCAGAGCTCCATACCCTTACCAATGGCACTTCAGGGCCTCTGGCCCTACCGGCAGTTTTACGGCACATGAGGACAGGCCTGGCTTATTCCCCTTCTGCAGCCCCCGTGCTCAACTGGCACCCATGGGTGTTCAGTAACTGCTAAGAGATAAAGGAAAGCAGACAACCCACCTGTGGGTCTGCAAACCCCTCGGATGAAAACACAAGGGAAGAGCTGCGCTGGGTCAGTTAGAGGGAGAGGGGGTTTGGGTCTCCGCCATGGTAGTCCAGTGCTGGCTTTCCCGCCACACCCCAACCACAGTCAGGGAAGGAAGGGTGAAGGTGGTGGCTGGCCCCTTCCCCCAACAGGGGCAAGTTAGCAAAAGCGATCCCAGCTCCATCTCTCCAGAGGCCCTCCTTAGAACACAGGGTCCCCCCAGCCTTGGGTCCACAGAGGGGGAGGCCCACTGGGGGCTAGACAGGGATGGGGGAGATGTGAAGAGCCCTGGAGCTAGGCAGGGGCCCTGCGCCTGAGGGTGCTGCAGGCCTCCTCTCCCCTCCTCGCCTGCCGCCCCGCTGCCAGCAAGAGGCCATTTTGGAATGTTAATTGGAAACACCGGCCGCAGCCACGCGCCCCCTGGCGCCACCTCCTCCTTCCGCAAGACCCGGGGCAACCCAGGCTGGGGACCTGGGATACCCAGCTAGGGCAAGGGACACTGCCGCGCCTCCCAGAGCCCGCAGTTCTAGGTGCTGGAGACCACACCGGGGATATCCGAAGTCCCCCGACCCAAACGGTCCCCATGCCCGGGGGGCAGGATAGCACTGTGAACGGCGCGGTCCTGGCCCCGGCCTTTAAGGGATGGGCATTGCAGTCTAGGGGAGCTAGTGTTGGGGGCCCTGCCACGCTCGGGGTCCCAGAAGGCGGCCCCTCCCTCCTCTGGGGGCTCAGTTTGCGCTGGGCGCAGTCGTCGCCCCATTAACAGGAGAGAAAAAAGCCGAGGCAGGGAAAAGTTTGTTCCGCCCACTCGAATCGTGCCGAGAAAGGGAGCGCAGAGGGGGCTCCACGCCTGCCCAAACCCGCACCGGGCCCCCGGAGGGGGGACCCGGGCAGAGGAAGACGTGGCGCCTAGCCGGGCAGGTCGAACGCGTGGGGAGGAAGCAGCCTCGGGCAGTGGCGTTAGGGAGCTGCCAGGGAGCCCCGATCCCGGATGGGGGTCTCAGTGAAGCCCTCACCTTGGAGGTAGTAGGCCTGGCAGCCGTCATCGCGCAGCTTCTGCAGGAGTAGGCCGAGCACAGAGGCGGGAGCTCCAGGCTCGGGCTGCCACTCGGCAGTGGCCTCGTCGTAGAGAAGCACAGTGGCCGCCTTGCAGCGCGTGGTGAAGCGCTCCTTGTCGGCGTGGTTGGGGATGATGGAGCGGATGGGCAGGTTGCCCTTGCGCAGGCGGCGCAGCATAAGGCCCGGGATGGCCAGGTTGATGGCCGTCTCGATGTGCGACGACTCGAAGAGCTCGTGCGGCCGGCAGTCGAGCAGCAGTAGAGACGCACCGCCGCGCGCCTCCAGCTCCTCCTGCAGCCACTCGGCGCTCTTGCAAGGCATGGCCCCCGCTCCAGTCACTGCGTCTGCCCCGGTGCCCGCGCCGG